GAATTACTTGGCTGATTGTCCCAGCATTCACACCAGTGAGTACAATGTAGCTAGGCTTGAAAGGATTAGATTTTTCAATAAATGTCGGTTAACGTCAATTTTGCCAACCACACGCTAACTGACGAAAAAATATTTCCTTCAATAATAATCAAAATGTACAGATAAGCAAAGTAAAAAAAGTTACTTTAGTATGTAATAGTGTCTGATGTAAGGATATCTACTTTGCGTATTTTGGCATGTGATGTTGGCAGTTTGTTATAGAAGTAACTTTTCATATTGCAGTTTAAACAATGTCAACTACTATTAAATCATTATTGTCTGACCGCCCCATAATTTCTCGCAATTGTGAAAATTTAAAGAGATAAAAATAAAAAATTCTTAACACATAATTTGGTACCACTGTGAAAATCACTACTAGGAAAATAAATAAATTTAAATATTTGAAAGTAAATAAGTATTTTCTTTCAAATATTTCAAAGTAATTTGAAAGCATTTGAAAAATTAAATAAATGAAATCAACCAGCAAGGAATGCTACCCTTTACCAATCACATTTGATTTAAACAGAGATAAATAAATAAACCTAAGAGTACTATGAAGAAACCTCTCTCAACAGCACAAAACGTCATTCATAAACAACTTTCATAAAAGATGCACTGAGTTTCTTACAGATTCATGGAATTATTAGAAACCTTCAAGACAAACTGCTATTTATTTATTTTGGGTAAGTTGTTCAATTACTCCCTTCTCTACTGTAACTCAGGAACGACTGGTGCATTTTATCTCCTTATCTCCGTTTTGATGCTGCTGCTGGAAGTGATAACAATAGCATATTTCCAGAGAATGAGTTAAACCCTAGTTATTTAACTTGGTAGGTGCATCTCTATCCTATCTCACTCTCAACAGGCACACATCCTTCAACTCTTGCCTCCTATGCCAAATGGATGCTGCTGACAAACACACAAAATACAGGTGGGGGGGGGGGAGAGAGAGAGAAGAGAAGAGAAAGGAGGGCATTTGCCAAAGTTACCTCCAGCACAAAGTTGGATAATTCATCTCCCATAGTGGGAACAAAATATAGGTTAAGCTGCAAATAACACTACATTTACCCTCAGGGGCTGTGAATCGAGAGTTTTAGTCAGGCTACTGGTGATGATTCACAATAAGTCAAGTTTTTGAAGTGTCAAGAAGAAAACAAAACACTCTCACAAAAAGAAAGGAAGACGTCTGTCCGGCTGGCTGGAGGATGATGTGAAATGGACTGGGACAATGCACCCGTGGCCTAAAACTCCCCCCGAAGAAGTAAACTGTGAGCTACAATCACTGAAACAGAATAGCCTCAATAATGGTCACTGGCAGCCTTCCATGGTCACTGTGGCTCAGTGTAATTGCTGACTGAGCAATAGTAGGGATGTGTGTGAATGACCAATGACAAGCTCTTCTGAAACAAGCAAGTTAATTGCTTTCAGAGAATCATTCCCCCTGTTGCACATATTGTACAAACATATGGGAATTCTGGGAATTATTTAATGCCAAATGAACTGAAATCAACTAATTAGATGAACTTTCACACTTACTGCAAATAGCAGGAGTCTTTTCTATAACAACTGACAAGGTATTAGGAATCTGATGCAGTTCAGGGCTATTTATTAAGCAAGGCAGGGAAGGGAAACATTACAAGATGCAGGTATTTAAAATTCCCTTGGGTGCATAGTAAACAAATCAGTAACCAGATCTAATCCTTCCAAATCCATCAAAATCAAGAGCTTCACAGGTTTCCAGTAAAGGAAAGAGAAATAGGCAATGGAGCTGTGCAGAAATAGCCATTTTTTTCCATGTGGTTTCACAGAGAATAATTTCCTATTTTATTCTACAATATTCTGCCTTTTGCACAGTTCAGAGGAAATGTTGGATTTTTGGTTGTGGTTTTTGGGGGGGGTTGGAGGGGGGGCATCTCAATTACAAATTTGGAATTTCCATGTTTTAAGATCAAATTTGATCAAACTAAAATTTCAAAATTTGAAAAAATGTCATTTCCTTTCTAAAATAAAGGAATATTTTTTTGCTGAGAATGGAACCATTTTTTAATTTTACAAATCCCCACAAAATAAGGCAAGGCTTGCCTTAACTCAAAAAAATAAAAATAAAATAAAAGCAACAACTACTAGGGCAAAGAAATAAACTTATATCATATTAATATGAAATAGATAAAATGCAATCTTCATATGATAGGTGTCATAAGAAATCAAATACTTTGTGAATATTGAATGATGCTTCACAAAGTCCTCATGAGGCAAATGTTATTCCTTCCCATTTTACAGATGGCACAGAGAGGTTAAAACTCAAATTGAAAGAGGTGGCCTCAAATTTTGGGTGGTTCAGTTTTTAATTTCCCAATATTGACACTTTGGACCTGATTTTCCAGGGGCACTGTGCACCCAGAACTCCAAATAAAGTCATTCAGAGCTCAGCACCTCTGGGAAAACAAGCAAAAAAGTGTTTTCAAATTGGGCATCAAAAACGGAGGCAATGATTAAAAGTTAGTTCACTGTGCTACTATTCTCATCTGGTAGCATCTTACCACCCAATTTGCACAACTATGCATGGTGGAGAGAAATGATGAATTGTGGCTTAACTGTCTTGCCCAAGGTCACGGCACAAGTCTGTGGTACAGAAAGAGAGAACTTTGGAGTCCTCATTCACAATGCCTGGCTCCAACCACTACACTGTGCAACATTTCCCGAGTCTTCAAACATTGCACAATGTGTTTTCTTTGTTTATGAATTAATATGAGCAATGAATCTGGTTCTCTTTCTATGCTGTGGTACATAACTGCAGCATAATATTTTTCTCTTATTCTAACATAGCTGTAGGATAGATTAATGCTGGTATGATCACCTTTCTAGCCCATCTTTTGGAACACCATGCCTATCAGCGGTATAGAGGTCATTTAAATATGTTACATACTGTCTTGATACGGAACGCCATATTCTAATGGAACAGACACACAAGCAGGTAGATCAGAAGTGAGGCAGAAGTTGTCTCTAAGAAATACAGTTGAAGGAAAAGATGACTCCTAGGAGAGGGTGGATTCCCAGATTCCACCTACAGAGGAAGCAACCATAGATATCCCAGAGAGAAATTTAACAGTAATTTTTGCCACTGCTCTTCCAGGCCCTGCAATAACTCTACATAAATAAGCCAATGGTGTGTGATTATTACATTCTTAACAACCTGAAAAAGACATTAAGCACAGCTGAGGATCTGGCCTTTAATTTTATTTTACCAGCATGCCTTCCTCAGTGGCTACATTTAGACTTTGCAGACATTGATTTCAATTTTTTTATCATTTCAATGGGTGTTTATTTTAAGTATATTTTCATTTTTATTGATATTTGTGACCCATTCATGATTCTTGAAAAAATGTGGTCACAAGCATAATTAAAGTACTTTGGATGAATACATTTTGAGACTCTGGGTTGTTTCTGAGCCATTCATTTGGAATACTTGCATATGCTTAAGGATTTTGCTGGATTATTTTTAAATTCAGTGGGACTACCGATATATGGAACATTAAGCTTGTGCTTAAATGCTTTACTGAAGCTCCGCCTGTTTGTGTTGTGTTATGGTTATCAAAGCCATGTGGTGATGGTGAGTTTCGGCTCCCTGATTGGATGACAGACTTTATACAGAGGAGAATGGCAGACATACCGAATTATGCGCTTCTTGTTTGACTTTTTAGATAAACAAACGTAACGATTTCTCAACTCGGGGGATTCGTGAACAATTAATATTTTAACTCCTGTAACAGCAGAGCAGAATCAGCCTATTTATTTGTGAATATATTTGTATACCCAGTTTTTTTCATTTAAGCCTCAATCCTTCAAACACTTGAGCACATATCTAAGTTTATTCATGTGAGTAGTCTAATTGACATTACTTAGATTGTCAACTCTTTGGGGCCAGGGACCATCCTTTTGTTCTGTGTTTGTACAGTGCCCTAGTCAATGACCAGGGCTCCTGTGTGCTACAATTATATAAATAATAAAAATCATGAGTAAGGTTATGCACATGATGCCAATTCTTTCCTGTCTTATGTCTATGCAACGTCACTGTCTTCAATTCTATGGGCAGATTTTGGCCAACAGGTATGATAACATTAGTAATAAAAACACAAGCCACAAGGTTGAGACATGGACCCAAAATACAGTCCTTCGATAAAATAAAGACAGGGCGTAACATTTTAAATGATGCCACTTTTGTCTAAAAATTGAATCAGACCCTTTCTATCACTTCCATTTCATTGTTTTGCATATGCATTTACAATCCAGAAAGTGAGGGAAAATTGATTTGTGTGGGATGGAGATAAATTTAGGTCTGAATGGATGAGCAGGGAAAGAGATTCATATCAGATACTGTATATTTATAACTTAATGTCTGTTATCTCTCTATTACCTATTTTGTTCTATTGGCAGAATATAAATATGTTCTCAAACCAGGAAAATCATACTCAATCTGGGAAAATTTGTGAGAGGCTGTATTTTTACACCATAATTTGTTTTATCTTTACTACTATGAAAATATTGTTGATGACAAGAAAAGAATTAGATGGTGATATTGCCAGCTGGTGCATAAAATAAGCCTTACTTACATAGAGTAATATTAACATTGTATTTGATTTATTCAAATGGAAAAGTACTTAAAGAAACAAAATCCTGAACTGACCAGTGGAGGATGGCTTATATGTGGCCTAATAAGTGTCTTTCACATCCAGCTTCAGATTCTATACTGAAATTAGCACAGTAGTTGGTTTTCCATTTTGTCTGTAGCCAAAATCTGAGTGCCTCGACCATCTGCTACACAAATATTTTAAATATCTGTGCATTGCAGTTAACATAAATTAATTCCATTTTGATAAAAAATGCTAGAAAAGTTTTCATTCCTTTTAAAAAAGACTTTGAGATTTTTTTTTTCTTCTTCTCATATTTATTTACATGTGAAGTCTACAGCCAGAAGGCACAGAAGTTCTTCTTGGTCCAGAAGTCACATGTGGCCCTCCAGATGTGACTGTCACCACTCCTTTTGCCTTGACTATACCGCATTGTGCAGAAGTAAATTCTCAACATTGGAATATTCACTTGAAAAAAAGAACACAACAAGGGAAATGGGAGGTAAGTTTAAACTGCCCCTCTCCAAAGGCCCTACTGATGATGAAAATATAAGATACAACCATCCACGCTGAACTTAGAGCTAGTCAAATGGGGATGGTGGGAAGAGACAAATCCAGATGTTTTTAAAATCCTTTCCCCCCACTGAAATTCAAAACAGATGAAAAATTTCGCTGCATTTTATGATCTTGTCCCTGTCATGTGATTTAGGTTTAGCTTCCCAAAGGTCACATGACAGGGGTCAGTATCAATTGACTCCTGTTGTGTCTGCTGTTTCTAAGCCATTAAGAAATTCAAGTAGGTCTAAACTCTCCTTGGAGACCCACCCATAGCTAAACCTGACCAGTTGGGCAAAACTTTACCATGATGGAAAGAGAGGTAAGGAATTCCTTAAGAACTGAAGCATAAAGTTTAATATTTTTACCCAACATTTCTAGAGTAGAATCTTCTTGGACCTACATATTTCATGCCATTGTATAATTCCATTTAATTGGTTGCCTCAATGGATTACCCTGTGTCAGTAATGTGTACAGGTTTATTATATGCTGCATAAAGTAGTTCCCATTTTCAGTTCAAGCTTTCAAAGTATCAGTTGACTCAATTGAGTTTTCCCATTTTTCCTCAAGAGGTGGAAAAGCCCAATAGTAAAACCATCCATGACTTTCTTAACCTTCTCTGCCTGCCCCTCCCCAAGGATTTTATCCTATTTGTTGCACTTCTCTGCCTCATTTCAAGTTCAACATAGTTCTTCTATACTTGATGCTGTTGCATTCAGTACACAGTCGGTTCCATCAGCACTGGTTGCCAGTATTCAAGGACTACTGAGGAAGAATGAAATATTGCAGTGCAAATTCCCCAAACCATTTATCTCATGACAATACAACACAGCAAAAGGGTACGTGAAGACAAAATGTTGTATTTTTTTTTTACCAGAATAAACATTATCTTGATAGATGCTATAAGAGGATGTTAGCTGCAGACTGTTGTTCAAGGTTTGCTTATTGACTTCCATCTTCAAGGTAATTTCTTAACCTGACATTAGGAAAAATTAGCTAGGAATCCAAGAACACTTAAGAAGATGCTAAAATTACTTATGCATCATGATTATTACATTCTTCGCACAATGGATTCTGCACAATATATAGCCATAAGTGCTGCTGCTGACTCAGGGCTAGATTGTGAACACTTGAATGAGTAAAGTCTATGCAATCTTGCCCATAAAGTATTTTACGTTTCAAACAAATTAGAAAAAATGAAAAGAAACTAACAGAAATGTCACGGCACCTGTTCTAAAAAGCCTTCTGATTTTGAAATATGGTTTTCATTATATAGGAAGTGATGTCCATGGAAGAGGAAACTACTTCCTGCTACTGCCTATTGGATCCTTACGCCTGTCACATTCTCTTAGACAGCTTTGGAACTTACGCTCTCGCTGGGGAGCCCATCTCTGACTGCGCAGTTAAACAGCTGAAAGTGGCAGTGTTTGGCTGCATGTCTTGCAATTCGCTGGATTACAATCTGAGAGTGTACTGTATGGACAACACCCCTTGTGCATTTCAGGTACATTATTTCAACTCATGAATTTTATTTTAGTTATTTTTCTACAGAATTGTGATCATGTATTATTTCTATTACTGTAGCACCTTAAAGCCCTCGTCATGGCCGAGGACCCCATTCCTCGGCCCTATACTAACATAAAACAAAAAGATGATCCCTGGCCCACGGAGCTTTATGCTGCCACGTGTCATATGTGATTTAATTCACTGGTGAGGTCACTGGACTGGAACTCAGGAGACCAGGGTACTACTCCCGGCCCATCCACTGACCTGCAGTGTGTCTTTGCTCCCAAACACTTAAAGTGTGGGAGAGGAAACAGAGGCACAGAGACATGAAGTGATTTACCGAGACGCTCTCTCAATATGCATTTGCGCTGCGCCAAGTACAATGGGGTGTTACTGTGATACAGATACTAAAATATCGGTCGCTTCCCCTGTGATGTGTAATATTCATCAGGGTCATTAACCTTTACATTCTCATTAGTCATTTCTCCCTTTTTTTTTTAATTGCAGCAAGAATTGGTAGGTGTTTTTTGACCCTTTCCATAAGAGTTACACAATAATTGTGCATAATATCTTTTAAAAACCTCAAATGGAACCCCGTGGTAGTTAATCAAAATTAATTTTGATTTTTTTCACATGGTGTTTCTGTAGAATTTGCCTTATTTGGAGTTTGCCATGGCTGCAGCTGTAATAAAACACTTGTCGTTCGGGAATAGAGATGAAGACAGTTGTGACAGCTGATTTTTATTTTTTTTCCGATTCGTATTTTACATCACAGAAACATGGCTCTCTTAACAAAGCACACTCTAATATCACTATGTTTTTAATAAAAGAAAAGCCACCAAAGAAAAGCTAGTGGTAGCTAGAGAAGTATGGTAGCTCTGCACTCACTGCCGAAAGATGGATGGTATGTACAGCTAATGTCTAGTAATATTTGTATGCAAGGTCAGAATTGGGCCTTAGAATTTCATTCAGCTTTACCAAGACAAAGGCACATATACACACCCCTAACTTGCACTGGGTCAGAAACTCAGCTGGTATAAATCTGTGTAGTCCATTGACGTCAGTGGAGTGACAAGAATTTTAATCAGCTACGGAGTCTGTCCCATTGTTGTATGCATGTATGCCATAATAATGAATGTTCAAAACAGTAATACTACAGGGCTTCAAAGCACTTTAGCAAGCAGAAATTCCAGAAACCAGTATTCTGCAACAGAAGAACTGTGAAAATGGCACATATGGGAAAACCAGAAACAAGTTTCTTATCCAGAGCAAGAGCAACCCACTATTGTTTTTTTCAGACTCGTTCTTATAGCAGGCTATTCTCTTGCTGAATGATTCATCCAGCTTGAACTTTATTGAAAGAAAACAAACAAAACAAACAAAAAAGCTTGATTTAATAGGACCATTTTGGTTCAAAAATTGCTGCTGCATTCAGAAAAAAACAATGAAGGAGACTAGAGGGTTTTCCCCCCCTTAATGTTAATGAAAATAAATAAGTAAGACATGTCTATTTATAATTTAGATCTTAATTATTCTTAAAACAACTTTTAAAAAAAAAAATCACCATTTTTTCCACTTATAGAAACCAGCACATGTTGTCTGCACATAATAAAACTATTATATATTTATGAAATTCTATTTTCTCTATAAATATCCTATGTCAGTTCAGTGCCAGCTTGCTTTTAAATATAGAAATTGAGTAATTATCAGAAAAAATGTCAGCAATAGATAAATAGAAGCACTGATCTGAGTCAGGGCTACTGGGTTCTGTTGCTCATTTGCAGTACAAGCTTACATTCCTCATTTGTGAAATGGGGATATTCCTGCTCTTAATATAGGTGTTTTTAGCAAAAACAACGAGGAGTCCTTGGGGCACCTTAGAGACTAACAAATTTATTTGGGCATAAGCTTTTGTGGGCTAAAACCCACATCATCAGATGCATGGAGCAGAACATACAGTAGGGAGGTATACCTCCTTGGGGCAGGAGTAGTCTCTCTTGATACTCTTGGCACCATCTGAGGTACAAACAACACTAAAGGTGACATCATGGAGTAACCACAAGCCCTGAGTAAGGTTGCACTGCTCTAGGGACCAAACTGTAACTGTGTCGAGATTGAATCTCTGATTTCCCCCTTCCTCTAGCAGGGAAGTAAATTGTGCCAGCACTTTTCCATGTACACCTTACTTCCCCCTACACTCTGCCTCAGCTGCTCTGGCCAGCATGTCGGAGATACGTTAATGCTCCCCCCACAGGATGAGGAATGGCAGCTGTACGATATCTGTGATCTGGGCAGTCTCCACAGGTGCACCCTACTCTGCTACTATTATTTGTATAGGGCTAAGTTGTGACCCAAGAAGAAGTGTAGGGGACTGACGTATAGGAAAAGATCCCAGCCAGACCAGTCCAGATGTGTGAAGCTGCAGCTTTGACAGGTCCCAAACCAAAGGAATCATCAGCTTTTTCCCCTCTGCTATTCTTTGACATGTATTATTTTTTCTGTAGAACATGGATGCATGTGGCATTTAACACATGGGGTGCAATCCTTGTCCCACTCAATTGAATGGCAAAACTCCCAGGGCCCTATTTATAAAGGTATTTAGGTGCCTAAAGATGCAGATAGGAACCCAGTGGCATTTTCAAAAGTACCTAGGTACCTGACTTCCATTGATTTCTGTGTGAGACAGGTTGATGTGCTCAATCCAAATCCTGGGGGACTGGCATCCAGGTCACAAGAGCCACCATCCAAGCAGGGGAAAAAGGACTGATTGACGGCGGAGAAGGGGCAGTTCGGTCCCTCTGCCTCAGTGTGGTCCTTACTTATCAGTGCCAACTCACCTTATCAGGGCTATGCAGCACAAACTGCATTGCTGCTGCCTGTTCTGTTGTAGCAGCACTATGGATTCATTTTCCAGGGCTGTCTGTCTGGCACCTTTAACGAGCATGCACATGTGTTTACTATTGATATTTTCAATAGTAAAGACCCAGTAAGCCTCATCTTTGTTTTGTTTTTTTCTTCCCGGCTCCTGTAGGAAGTAGTTTCAGGTGAAAGACACCAAGGAGGACAGTTGCTGGAGGAACCTAAGTTGCTGCATTTCAAAGGGAATACCTTTAGTCTTCAGATCTCCGTTCTTGATATCCCCCCTTTCCTCTGGAGAATTAAACCATTTACTGCATGTCAGGTACTTGTCAATATCATACTTTTTAAAAAAATTCAGAGGCAGTATGAATTTTTACCAGTAAAGGTAGAGTGCAGGCAAGGTAGCTGCCTCTTTTATTTTGTTTTCCTAAGAAAAGCGTGGATTTAATCTCTGAGCAGCCAACAAAAATGCAACGATGATTGTGAGAAATAAGGAATGAAACATGTCCTGTAAAGCACAGTGGTTGTAAATTTCTCTCAGCTTACAGAAACATGCTTTTATTTTCCCCCACATTGCATTTGGCCCCAGCTAACTCCCTACATTTAGGCTCAACATCATCATTCCCGTTAAGAGCAGTTTTTCGATATCAGTAATTGAGTTGTCATTCCTGGACTTAATGCAAACAGTGAATGATCAGCTGAAATGGAGTGCATGTCTGTATGCATTTGAATGTCATGGGTTCAAACCATGGCATGTATACATTTAGGCTTAGAAATGATAGAGCAGCAAGTTCTCCCGCCTGTGGTGCATTAATTAAAGAGGCTGTCTAAGATGGGAAGAATAAATCAAAGTGAGGGAAAGAGCCTATCAAATGCATTGGTCCCTGAAAATTGTAAGCAATATATTGGCACAAAGTGTGTTAAAATAAAAGAGAAGAGCTTAATTGGTATGTCATTTCACATACCCTGCAAGCAAGTAGACAGAGAGGAGGAAAGCAGGGTCTCTTGTGATCTCTGGGCAAAATTTGCCCTAAATGTATAGGCAGATTGTCCTAAATATCAGCAAGACTGAGCCAGAATGCAAGCCCTATGCTAGAAATACAGATCATAGAGCATGAAGGTAATTTATGCCACGTAACTTAAGTGGAGGAGGAAAGAGAATGATACTTCTTCAGAGCAGGTTGTGGGAATGACAAAGTATTTTGTTCTATTATGATAGGTTCTTTTTGTAAACTATAAAATAAACAATCATAATCTATAGATCCACCTCCCACTTGTGTTAAACACACATTAAAATCTGTAGTTATATGTGCATTACTAAGCTTTTCTGCTTATCACAGGTTAGGGTTTGCTTACCCATAGATAAAGGCACTACAGAGTTCAGTTAGTATCAAATCTGCATCACCTCCTGATTAACCCATCCCAGAGAGTAAAAACCTTGCAGTACAATCAAGAATGATTCAAGGCACCATTAGAAATAGTTTGCTTACAGAAAACTCTTCTAATAAAGGTGGAAAGCAGTTGCACTCATTACATTTGGGGTACTTTGTGCTGATCTCGTCAGACTGACTTAGTAAGAGAGGGTGGAGTGTCTTTCACAGGTTCCACTATAAAGAATTAGTATCATTTAAATGTCCAGTATATACAAGAGCAGATCTCTTAGTGACACTGGTGTGGCTTAAATGAATTTGCACACCCTGGTGCCTACAGCAAAGCCAACACATTACAATGGAGAGAATTCAGTCCCCTTTGCCACAGCTAGTGCAGCAAAACAACTCATTTCAACAACCTAGAATTCTACATTTTAGTCTGACGTGGCTTATTGCATGGACATCTGCAGTGGGGGGCTGCAGTTACATAAGAGCGAGAGAATCAACCATTTAAAATTAGACTTGATGATAAAGTCTAGCCAGGGAAGGATAATCTAGATGACCCACTGGGATCTTTAAATACACAGAAACATGGGGAAGAGAGTTGGAAAGACTTCAGTGAGAGTTATTTCTGGCTGTTTATTTCTGCAGAATGATGTCTTTAGGGCATTATCTCCTTGTTGGATGTGAGTCCCCAGTATGTGCAAAGTGGTGAGAGTTAGTTGGAGGCCCCAAAGCATTTTGTGTGTGGTTCAGCACTTTCTCTAATGCCACATACAATTTCTATGAATAAATATATTGTTTATGGTGTGTTAAACCTAGGTACCTGTGTACTCTGCTGGCAAGCAATATTCTGGCGCTTCCAGGCCAAATTGAGCTGCAGGGTGCTGTTAAAACAAGTCCTGATAGCCATGCAAATTTCTCCATATTTATCTTTATGGGTTGTAAGGGCCTCACTTTGCTGGATCTAATGCAAGTGGCACCCTCCAAAATAACTATTAAATGTATTGCTGAGAGATAAAAATATCAGATGAGGGAGCCATATCCCAAATAGCAGCATTTAAGTAATAAGTGCTATGTCTGCTCTAAGAAGAGTGCAGAATGGGATGGTTGGAATCAGGGATCTGCATAAGTTTTACATGTAGTGCTCAGATTACCCAGTCTTGCAGCATTGGCGGCAAACAAAAGTGTCTTCAAAACTTCTGTCATCGAAATGGATTTGACAGGATGATATTGAAGCCGAATAAATATTTGCATTTTATAATTGTGTGTAATTTGAACGACTTGGATGGCTGAGAAATAATCATTATTGTTTTTTAATAGGAACTGCAGCACAATTTGCACTAACTTCATATTCTCTGCTCAGTGAAACGTGGTCTGTGATGAATCTTTAGATCAGCTGACAGCTTAGATTTGGGCCCTGCATGAACAAATAAATGTCACCAACTTCTGTCCTCTAGAAGCCCAACCCTGAGCCCTAAGATCCGTTTCTCCAGGGCACCACAAATTTCTCTCCAATTTTGACTCCTTTTTTATTTCATGTCCCACCCTCAACATTTTCCCCCAAAACCAAGGAGGGCTGAAAGAGGCTCATGTTGACAGCACTCAGAGTATGCTTGACACTTGACAGAGCTATTAAAAGGCCCTGTCCCAAAGAACTTATCCTCCCCTTCAACAAAGTCTGTTACAATCTTTGTGGATGTGACCCAACAAGCGAGGGTGAGTGCTATTGATACCTCAGATACAGATTATAAAATCTCATACTTCAGGCCATAAACCAATCTCTTACATCAGAGACCAGAATGAGACAGACATGGGATAGTCTGCTTCCCACAGTATGCCTCCTTACTTGTGTGTAAGTGCTACCTTTAGCACTCCAAATGAAAACAAAGATGATTACTCTGGAAAAAAACTCATTACAGTCGCTCCATTTTTAATATTTTTTTAATGTTTTCTTTATCACCATTGGTATCTTGCTACTGACTCAGGAGCTAAATGTAGCAATGGATACATAGACCTAGGGCAGATCCAGACTGGCAATTCCCATGTTCCTAGCTTGCAGATAATTGGGTTTGGTGTGTGCATCTTGATTGTTCCATTCAGAGAGAGAGAAAGAGAGAGAGTGTGTGTGTGTGTGAGAGAGAGTGAAATAATTCAGTTCTTGGAAAGCATGTGGCAAAGTTGGAAGGGATTTGAATGATGACCCAGTGGTGGCTTCATAAGTAGACAGGGATTTTGTTCCTTGCAGAGTGGGCAGTATGCAAGAGGCGTGGAAGTGAGATAAGGAGCATGTCCATGCCCTACTTAGCACGCAGACAGAGCAGCACACAGCTCCTGTCAGGCAAAAAAGGCACCCAATTCCTGCCTAATGCTAAGATCCCGATTTAGCATGGTCTGGGATTGCTGAAAGCGGTGCCCGGTCTCCCTTATTGTAGCTTTTGTGATGCCCTAAGACCACCAGGTTTGCCTAGACTGTGGCTGCTTTAACTTGTGTTTTGCAACAGTCATCTGCACAACTGCCTGGAAAACAGGATGTTGAACCTAAATCAGATAATATAGAGGCAAGGGCAGTATGGATATGGGCACTCAGGTCCACCCACTTGAAATTAGGAGGAAGGAGGAACCCGTATCTGAGTTTCCAGTCTAGAAAAACTTTCTGTGAAGTAACTGAATGCCATGGCAACATGTCATAATAAAGTGTCACTCCATGGTGCACTGCCAGAGTCGTGCCCAGCAAGCACACTGATGTTAGATCCCTCTCTGTGGATTAGGGAGAAGGAGGTGAGCTGAGTGTGCTGCTTTTTGTCTTTGCAATGGCAGGAGGCGCAAAGCCTGTGGTAGGATGCTTTTTACAAATTGTGAATCAAAAGGAAAAGCGGTGGAGGTTAATCCCACAAAAGATCCAGCAGTATCAGAGGGAGAGTTTTCCTGTAATATACCAGCTGCATTTGGTCATGTTGGGAATCCCACAGGAGCAGACACTTAAAGATTGGGCTCCCTCCCACCACTTTCACAAATGATAGGAGAACCCCTCTAGAGGGTGTGTGTCAGATCAGGATAAAGCTCAGACAAACAAGGTATGAAGCCAGGCAGCCACCTTCCTTAAGTAAAAAGTAGCTGTTTTTCCCAGCACCTTGTGTGTCTTGGAGGATCCAGAGCCTGTCTCCTGATAGGAGATGATTTACATTCTCTCCATCTGCTAGGAGCCTAATTATAATGGGGAATCAAACTAAAAGCATTTCCACAATACTTTAAACACTCAGAACTTCACAATACTTTGTCCTCTTGTATTACTTTACACATAATTCTTCTCAGCTCAGCGAGTTCCCACATGAGTCCCTCCCCACTCCGAACGAAAGCAAAGATGATTACTCTGGAAAAATCTAATTACAGTTGCTCCATTTTTAATATTTTTTTAATGTTTTCTTTATCACCATTGGTATCTTTCTACTGCTATGGACTCAGGAGCTAAATATAGCTCTTCTAATTATTACTTAGTGCATCATTTTGTGTAAACCCTGACAGTCTTGAGAAGATGCAGAGTTAGCTGCATTTCAGGGGTGAGTAAAATGATCTCGAATATGTATCAGCCATACCTGCCTTCAGAAAGGCGCAATGATATTTTTGTTTGGAAAGTGCATTGATATCTCCAATGGAAGCGGGAGGTAGATGTACAAAGTATCATCATATAATTAGTTTCATAGGGGATATAGGTTGCTGTGAGTGCACCGAGTCTTATATACAGATAATCAAGAAAAAGGGGTTCCCCTTGGATAGAAATGGTATAGAGAAGGGAGGTAAGGAAGAGGAGCTCATGTGTTTTCCACTGAAATGATGTATTAAAGGTCACACTTTATGTTAACATTCAATTTCTAATTAACTGATAAGAGGGTTAATATATGATTTAATGAGGATTAAATTATAAACACTTGATTAGAGTCCAGCAGCTACATGGTTGCTTATAGTCAGCTATAACATCTTCTACTGATGTGAGTATAGCCACTTAAAACACACTTATGTCTATAATATGCTTTAGCATCAATTAATTTATTAACCCTTTACAAATTGAACCATAATATTAAGTATGACCAGATTAAATCTGATTTCTGTTCTTTCTTTCAGTGGCCAGCTCCGAACACTTCTCAAATCACGTCTTTCTTTCAATATTTACGGAGCTAAAATTTAAAGAGAACACAAGCAGGGAAACCAACACGGGTGCAAAATATTTGAATGTGCATTTGAAACCCAATTCTCTTCCTTTATGTTAAGATAATGGCTCAGATGAGCCATTTAATGCTTATTCCCCCAAATATCAGAGAGGTAGCTGTGTTAATCTGGATCTGTAAAAAGCAACAGAGAGTCCTGTGGCACCTTTAAGACTAACAGATGTATTGGAGCATAAGCTTTCATGGGTGAATACCAACTTCGTCAGACGCAAGGTATTGACAAAGTGGGTATTCACCCACGAAAGCTTATGCTCCAATACATCTGTTAGTCTTAAAGGTGCCAGAGGACTCTCTGTTGCTTATTCCCCCAAACACACTTTCTAATTTGTTGTGACTTCAAACAAAGTCCATTAAATTTAAAATATTTTAATTACTTTCCCTGTTTAGATGATTGCAAATGTTGAGGGAAAGTTATTACAGGAGTCCTGTATCCTTGCCTTACAGAGTGAGGTGAGAGGGCTAATAGTTTTCTTAGAACTTTAATGTTGTGAAAGGGATCCTAATTGCCCCTATTGGGCATATGCTCTCCTGTGCACTTCCAGACCCTCATCATCATAGGAAATCAAGGTAGCCAGGAATGCCTGAAGTTTTATACTGACCCATTACAGTAAGGGTTGTGTTGTGCATAGATGGTATGAATTCAGAAAAGGAGCAGTATGAAATGGTCCAAAAAGAAAAAGATAGGGAAATGTCTCCTGCATTCAGCCTGTTTTCCTTTTAATTTTAGCCTAACTGTGAGGTGCAATGTGCTGTATTTAAGTCTCTCAAGAGAAGTGTCTGAAGTCCCATCACTCAGATTTAAAATTGGACTAAAGGCAGCACTGGAAAATGTGCTGTACGGATTGATCCTGCACTGGCTCATGGAAGAGTGGTTGACCTAAGGGAGGGGTCTCTTCCATCTCCAGTTTCAAGGATTCTGTAATGCTTATTGTGAAAGCTAGAGAGCCCCACGGTGGGGCAAGAATTTGGAATTCTGGAGTCTGATGGGGTAATAAATAAACTCCTCTGAGTGAAATACATTTCTTATTTTGTTAAAAGTTAAATTCTCTCTCATCATCCATGTTGCTGAGTGAAATTTAAGTTTGCAGTAATTTTAACGTTGCAGTTTTCAATTGGAATTGACATTAATTAGTTTTGTGCTACTCGACATTCACAGGGACATTATTACAAAAGCAATTCCAGCAAAATCGTGTATATAATTATTATTTATCTCCTGCTTTACAGTTGTCACAGCTTCTCTCTCTCTCTCTCTTCCTTCTCCTTTCTGTTTCTCTGGGATGCATTTCTTTCACAGGAAGTTCCTTTCTCTCGTGTGTGGTGCAGTAACCAGCAGCCACTGCACTGTGCCTTTTCACTGGAGCGTTACACTCCCGCAACCACACAACTGTCCTGCAAGATCTGTGTTCGGCAAGTCAAGGGCCATGAGCAGATCCTACAGATCCAGACATCTATTCTAGAGGTAACTTTTTCATCTGGTTCTGTTCCCTATTCTGTCACTAAGTTGCTGCGTAACATTGGAGACAACCCCACAAATCTGCCTCAGTTTACCTTATGTAAAATAGTGTTGCCTTTATAGCTGTAGCCAGCATTTCCCTGCTGGAGAGCTGTAGCTTTTCAGCTCAGCTTCCCAGTGGAGGAGAGGTCATTGATGCAGAGTCTGGATATAGTAGAAGAGTAACTTGGTTTATTTACACACCCACACCAGTCATTGAACTGAGGTGGTCAAAAACATGTAGGCAAATCCTGCCATTCAAGAATCTCAATTCCTAATGAGCAAACTTTCCCTTATTTTCTGATTAAAGTCAATTCATGAGGCAAAGGGCAAAAATCTGCTGCTGCTCACACAATTCCCAAACTACCACCACCACACAGCATGTCTTACCAAACCTGAACATTTGCTCATAAGTAGAAGGACTTGGAAGACTGCGCATAGCATGACCACCTGGCGATGATTGTCATAACAATAGGTATCTCATCTATGCTTTTGGGGCCTGCTTTATTAATATGAGAAAAGCATTGTGAGATTTCTGGGCAAAAGGCACAATATGCATGTGCAAAGGTACATAACTAAAGGCATTATGCAGAGGAAGGGGGACTAGATAGGACCATAAGTAATAATACCATACAAAGATAATTTACTGCGGCAATGACAGACTGGCCTGAAGCAAGTAGGTATTCACAAGTACAAAGGAGAAGAGGTAGGGCACATTGTATTGTGCAGATGAGCGCAATGAGGCATGGACAGATTTTAGCCACAAGGCTATCCTTTCCTCCCCCTCCTTAACTCCAACTCTAGAAAATGGTTATCTGTAGGCAGGTATGCTCAGATAGATCCTGATTGTGCAGGAGGTCCTTGCAGGATTGTGGCCTTATCATGTTAACTCAGTTTCTGGATTCAGTGCTGGATTTTTATTTTGGGCATCCAACGTCTAGCAGATCATCATGTTTAGGACTAACAGTTTTTTAAAACACCTGACAGCAGCATAGTACTTAGATGCCGTGACTTGATTTGCATTTGTTACCTTAATGTTCAATAAGAGCTTGTTTGTGATCAGCATGGAAAAGGACCTCTTCTGAATAATATGAGAACACAGGCTTCTCCTATGAAGCCTCGTGTTACGTATAATACATAATCTCGGTGCTGGATTTCAGGGAAAGAATATGAATTGTGGAAGAGGTTATCAATATTAGAGAGAGAGAATGTTGAAACTTTCAAGGATATGAAAACAAACTTTACACGGCACTTATTTTGTCCCAGAGGTTTCTTACAAATACAAAGGTGACAGAGCAACAAATTTACAATGTGGTGAAGCCCTTTCAAAAAACCAGTGTAAAATGTGGTGTTCATTAGATGAGGCCCTTGTGGTTAATGCATTGGATTGGGACTCCAAAGACTGGAGTTCAGTTCCTAGCTCTGCCAAGCACAGACTCCTTGCATGGGAAAGTCACTTAATCTCTTTGTACCCTCAGTTTCCCACCTATAAAATAGGGATAGTGGAGGCATTTTCTGTCATGTCAATTTACATTGTAAGCTCTTCAGGCCACTGGACTGTCTGTCACTGCATTTGTATAGCACCTAGCAAAATGGGGCATTGATATTGTAATACAGATAATACATAGGAGTAATGTTTTCAATTAGCTCTGTTGATTTTTTCATATCTCCCTTGTATGCCATTGGGGATTTTTGTTGTGTCTTTGTTTCCCCCTGCATGACTCAGTCCAACAGTCATGAAGGCCATTCAGTTTGATATAATTGTCCCTTTTCATGATTTCATAATAGTTGATTATTAAAAAAAAAAAACAGAATATGGCCAGCTCAAGTCCCCCACCTATTTGCCATAACTTCTTGCAGATTTCTGTCATCTATTTTTCCTCAGTTTAATGTTGCAGTTGTGGTTTTTTAAGGAGGACTAGCTGTCCATAAACCCCAGGTGCATGTTAGAATAAGAAAACTTGCCATATTAGTGAATCTGTTTGAAGAGAGCATTCTATCTCCAAAGGTGATGGAAGGAGGAGAATAATTTGACTGCAAAAAAAAAAAAAAAAAAGGGGGGGGGGGGGCCTGAATACTTGAACTTCTCATTGCTTCACAATTCCCACAGCTAACCAGATAGCAGTGGCTTATCTCAGAAGTGCAGGGTATGAAAATTTACTGTTCTTCTGCATATTTAATTTAAACAATCAGAAAAGGTGATGTATCTACAGCATTCCTATTACTTTGCATGGATGCCTTTTAGGATGTATCATAAATGTTATATGACGATACTGGTAACATCACTATAATTTAATATTTATACTTCAGTAGCATCCAGTGGGGCCTCAATTCAGAATGAGGCACTATTAATTCAGATGTCTACACACACAGACAGTCCCTGCCCTGTATAGCTTAAAGTCTCATGAACTGAAAAGAGATGAAGATGGGGAAAGGATACCATGTTGAAATGTGAATTAAGTCAGAAAAGCCTGTAAAACAGAGGAAATTTATATCTGTATCCATGTTTGTTATTTCCAGATCATAAGTGGAAATACTTACTTTATAGTATGCAGTATAGTTGTGTCGGTCCCAGGATATTAGAGAGACAAGGTGGGTGAGGTAATATCTTTTATTGAACTGACTTCTGAGCCACGCAGAGCTCTTCTTTAGTTCTGGGAAAGAAACTCCCAGCATCACAAGAAAATGCAAGTTGGAACAGATTGTGTAGCATAAATAGTTAGCTTATATTGTAAGAGACTATTCAAGGTAGAGTGGCCTGTTAACACCTCTGCGGTCATAGGAGATTATGGCTTATTGCAACAATCTGTAACCCGCTCAATCCATCATTTTTGGTGTCTAGCACAGTAATGAATTTAAGTTCTCAGGTTCATCTTTTGAAAGTGTGGTGCAGGTTTCCTTTGAAGATGAGGTCAGATAGAATGGTTTTATCAGTGAACACTTTTCATAAAGTGATCACTCTGTCTTATTTTCTTGTGCAAGTTCATTCAAGAGCATAGTGATTGTCTGATTTCACCCACATAATTGGTATTGGGGCAACTACTGCACTGGATGAGGTATAGCACATGTTGTGATAGGCAGGTGTATGGGGGGCAGGGGTTGGTCATTGTAGCAGTGGACTTACATATGCAGGTTTTGCATCTGTTGCACTTTGAGTTGATGTCTCCTGGTTGTCAGCACTACAAACTGCACCTGGGATCTCCAGTTCAAGCTGGGCTCTGTCTGCCTCCAAACCAATAAATATCACCACTAGTGATAAGGTAACCTGCAATCAAAATAAATTGGATAATGATGCCGAAGGTGGAATAGAATCCCACTCATTCTCCCATAGCTGTGTTGCCTCTTAAAAGTTTAACATGAGTGAAAACAGTACACTCAAGCAAATATAACTCAGCACCATCACTTCATATTTATTTTCTTCTACATTCATTACCTCTTTGGGTGTTTGCCTGAGTAATAAACACACCTGGGTCAAAATAGTCATGACAAACTAATTATCCAACCAATTTAGACTTTTTTCCTGTTAATTTATGGGTCACAAACATAGCACAATTTTATGAATTTGGTAAACATATATTTTATTTGATGGGTTATTTGCAAACTGCTTTTATGACCAAAGTACTTGTCGTGAGTAGTCATTTGATTATTGGTCACCAGTCATGAGCTATTATTTCTGCTTCTTTGGATGAACTTTTTTTCAGCCAGAAGTACTTCATAAAAGGTTATATTTCATTGCATCAGGAAACTAAATTCATTTCTTAATTAAGTGAATCTTAACTACTTCGGGGATTATATAAATACCTAAATGGAGAAGATAGTTGTCTAAAACAAATGGGTAGGTTGAGGGGACTATAGGTCTGAAAATCTCTGTTCTCAGTACAGCCCAGTGTGTGTGAATGTTTAAGTTCATGAGCAGAGAATAAAGGACAAATTGAAATGCAAGTAATTCAGCAAACTTTCTGTAAACAAGTTTAAACACTCAGTGGGACTGGAAGGGACCTTGATAGGTCATCTACTCAAGTCCTACATTTCTATGATTCTATTTGACTGTTTCAACTAAAGTCTTTCAAATTTGGCACATTGTGACATAATCAGAAAAGAAACAGTACATGGCATTATAGCTGTGTGTGTCTTAATGCTAAAAGGAAAGTTATTACTAATCAGTGTTGACAAAGAGAACGGTCCAGTGGTTAAGACACTAACCTATAACTTGGGAGACCTGTACTTAAGTCCCAGCCACACCACAGACTTCCAGTGAATTTCAGGGAACTCACTTAATCTTTCTGTGCCTCAGTTCCCTAACTATAAAATGGGATAATAGCAGTGCCCTACCTCAAAGGGGTGCTGTACAGCATTCATGTACTATAGAAGGACCTTAGATACCTGCTGATCTATTACCCGTTTTGTTTTTATCTCGTCTGTAGAATGAGAGAGAAACCATCACTTTGTTTGCACGTGAGGACAGCAACTTCCCTACACAAACTGGTCCAAAAGCCTTCAAAATCCCATACTCCATTAGACAGAGAATATGTGCGACATTTGACACACCCAATGCTAAAGGCAAAGACTGGCAGATGTTAGCACAGAAAAACAGCATCAACAGGTAATGGAAGGCAAGTTTGAAAGGTGAACATTGACATACACAATGGGAATAATCTGCTGCTATGATTTTTTTTTTGTTTGCTTGTCTAAAATATATTTGAATTAGAATTACTATACTTTATCTGAAGGAGAGAGAGGTTGCTGTTTGCAGTTCATACATCTGTTTTTGTGATTAACAATTGAAGTTTACCCTGAGAATGTGTGTTTTGGGCCAATCCTGCATGGTATTAACTTGAAAGTTCAGACTTCTTTATCTACGTTCTGGAACGTCTTCTCCAATACATACACATGCTGTCTTAGCAAAATAGGCAATTGCAGAAGCCAGGGAGATTTCTACATTGCTGTGTGATAAAGATAGTTTGAATTGGAATGTGAGGAAAAAATTACATTAGTCTGTGGAGAGAACAGGCCAAATAATTTTTTCAGTGTGTGTCAAACCCTAAGGGACGTATGATATACTAACTGATACTTTTGTCAGGTTAAAAAAGTATGTTTAAAAAAATTTCCCATCTGTGCTACCCATAGTACAGCATTATTAAATGTGAGAGAACATCAAATTTATGCTTCTTGTTTGTTTTTTTCCACTTGATGAAAATGGACTAGTTAGTCTTACTTTCTGCTTCTCATGAAAATAGTACAGGATAATATTTAAATATGTCCAAATAATTGGTTTTCATTGGTTGGGTGAACTTCATGAGAACATCTCAATGTTACAGTGGTCTAATAAAGGCAAAAATTAAGAAGGCTAGTGAGAAGCAGGATGGTTTATAGGTTAAGATACTGGAGTGGGACTCAGGAATCAGTTACTAGTTCTGCCACATATGCTCTTGGATATAGTGAAGCAAAGAAAATAATCTCTCTATGCCTCAAGTCCTCATTTGTAAAATAGGGGGGCTCAGAAAAATACTGATTCCTCACATGGGTAAGTCCCTTATTATCCTCCCATTTGCTGTCAGATACCCAAATATCCCTTCCCTGTAGTTAGGAACATGAAATAACTGTATAAAGTCTGACACAATGTATGGTAACTCTTGGTAAATTTTGACTTTTTATAAAAACAAATTCTGCAAAGACTCTCCACTAAAGCCTAAATTTTTGCTCTAAACCACCCAACAGTTCACCTGGATGCCTAACTTTGCAGCACTCTGTATAGCTGATGTTCAGGATAATCCCTTTGCTCCCTTGTGCTAGTAATTCTGACTAAGCATCTCCCCCCAATCTAGTTGAAGCTTACATTCCAAATGTGCTTTCATATTCCCATTTTCAATACTTACAGTGTAGAGCTGGTTTTCATTTACTTTGAAAATACTTCAACTGCAAGCTAAAGACCAGAGAAAGAACTATGGAAGTGCAGTGTTGTTTTGTTATTTTAACATTTTAGACGTTTCCCTTGCTCTAACTGTTGGTTGTTCCTCATATTCCTTTGTTACAGAGCAAGAGTTGGTACTCAGTAAAAGCTCATAAGCAATAAGCTCCACTTCTTCTGAGGAAGGGATGATTTAGAGAGCGTACATGGTATTGTAACTTAACTCTCAACTCTTTTCTTCTCTTAAGTGAAAAGTCTTAAGTGAAGGTAAGAGGTAAGAGAAGAAAAGATTCAATGAAACAGAGACTAAAGAGAAGAAAACTTACCACTTTTCACTTAACTCTTCCCTCTTTCTTCACTTAAGTGAAGAAAAGTGGTAAGAGAAGAAAAGAAGAAAACTCTTAACTCTTCTCTTACCTCTTAACGTTTCTTCTCTCTTCTCTTACCTATTCCCTCTTCCTTCTCTTAAGAGGAGAAACGAGGGAAGAGTTAAGAGAAAAAAAGCGGGAAGAGAAGAAAACTCTTCCCTCTTTTCTTCTCTTAAGAGTAGAAACGAGGTAAGAGTTTTCTTCTCTTACCTCGTTTCTGCTCTTAACTCTCCCCTCTTACCTTTTCTTCCTCTTCCCTCTTAAGAGGGAAGAGAAAAAAAACGACTTAACTCTTCTCTTCCCTCTTTCTTCACTTAACTCTCCCCTCTTACCTTTTTTTCTCTTCCCTCTTTCTTCACTTAAGAGTTTTCTTCTTTTCTACTCTTAAGTCTTAACTCTTCCCTCTTTCTTCACTTAAGAGTAGAAAAGAAGAAAACTCTTAACCTCTTTTCTTCACTTACCTCTTTCCTCTCTTACCTTGTTTCTACTCTTACCTCTTAAGAGAAGAAAACGTAAGGGGGAAGAGGTAAGAGTTAAGTGAAGAAAAGACTTAAGAGTAGAAACAAGGTAAGAGAGGAAAGAGGTAAGTGAAGAAAAGAGGTTAAGAGTTTTCTTCTTTTCTACTCTTAACTCTCCCCTCTTACCTTTTCTTCTCTTCCCTCACTTAAGTGAAGAAAGAGGGAAGAGTTAAGTCTTAAGACTTAAGAGAGGGAAGAGTTAAGTCTTTTCTACTCTTACCGCTCTTCTTCACTTAACTCTTCCCTCTTTCTTCTCTTAAGAGAAGAAAGAGGGAAGAGAAGAAACCAGTTAAGTGAAGAAGAGAGGTAAGAGTTGAAAAGACTTAAGTCTTTTCTTTTCTTCCCTCTTCTTCACTTGAGAGAAAAGAGGGAAGACTTAAGTCTTCCCTCTTTTTTCACTTGAGATAAGAAAGGTAAGAGTTAACAGTTAAGAGTAGAAATGAGGTAAGAGAAGAGTTAAGAGTAGAAAATACTTGAGAAGAAAGAGTTAAGAAAAGAGGGAAGAGTTAAGTTAAGAAAAGAGTTAACTCTTCCCTCTTTTCTTCTCTTCACTTAACTCTTTCTACTCTTAAGTGAAGAGAAGACTTTTCCCTCTTTTCTTCTCTTAGGAGTTAAGAGTAGAAAAGACTTAACTCTTCCCTCTCTTACCTCTTCTTCACTTAACTCTTCCCTCTTTCACTTAAGAGTTTTCTTCTCTTTTGTCTTTGTTTCACTTAAGTCTTTTCTACTCTTCCCTCTCTCTTCTCTTAAGAGAAGAAACCAGGTAAGAGAAGAAAAGAAGGAAGACTTAAGTCTTAAGAGAAGAAAGAGGGAAGAGAAGAAATCAGTTAAGTGAAGAAGAGAGGTAAGAGGGAAAAGTTAAGTGAAACAAAGACTAAAGAGAAGAACTCTTACCTCATTTCTACTCTTACTTCTCTTCCGTCTTTTCTTCACTTAAGAGAAGAAAAGAGGGAAGAGTTAAGTGAAGAAAGAGGTAAGAGAAGAAACGAGGTAAGACTTAAGTGAAGAAGACTTACGAGAAGAAAGAAGAAAGGTAAGAGTTAAGAGACGAAAACTCTTCCCTCTTTTCTTCATTTGTTTCTTCACTTAACTCTTCCCTCTTCTCTTAACTCTTCAGTCTTTTCTTCTCTTACCTCTTCCCTCTCAAGTCTTTTACCTATTACCTCTTTTCTTCTCTTAAGAGTTGAGAGGGAAGAAAAGAAACGAGTTAAGAGGGAAGAGTTAAGTGAAGAAACAAATGAAAAAAAGAGGGAAGAGTTTTCTTCTCTTAACTCAACTCTTCCCTCTTTCATTAAATGAGACCAGTGCAATATGGAAGAGATTAATATTTTTCATTGTTTCAATTCCCCCTTGGTACCAATACTTTTTGAGGAGACAGTGTACTTGCAATGTTTTCCTGTTCATTAGAGACAATTTGATAGCTTTTCTCAGGTACTCTGTGCTATAAAAAGCAAATCTTTCCATCCGGCCCCATGGATTATTATTCTAGTCTCAGAATTCTTTCTACTGAGTGAGTAGTTTCTACTCATTTAAAATTAGTGTTCAACGCAGAGAAGAATAGGCTGGAGGAAATAAGGATGCACTGGCAGGGGGTGGGAGATGACTTAATACACTTCACAGAAGGATGACTTCCCCTTTGATCTTCCCTTAGGAGCAGTGTCTATTATTGGGATAGATGGGATGTGAAAGCATGTGCATTGCTAATGGAACACACTGTTTTAATAGACAGCATCTCTGCACAAAACATATGTTTGGAATAAGATGTAAGCTCCTATTCAAAATTTCACTGTTTTCAAACAATGTCAGCCAGCCACTTGACCTTCGAAGGATGGACATCACCTGAGCTCCCAGTTTGAGCATAGGTTAGGATCTCATATTGGAATAGCTGACCCTGCCTTACTGAGAAATGGCATGTCTTTCCAAGCATGTTAGAAAGTATCCAACTGTAGTTTGCCGCTGGTATTTTTTTTTTCTTTATAGTCCATGCACAATAAATCATAGCACTGAAAGGGACCTTGAGAGGTCATCTAGTCCAGTCCCCTGCCTCATGGCAGGACTAAGTATTATCTAGACCATTCCTGACAGGTTCTTGTCTAACCTGCTCTTAAAAATCTCCAATGATGGAGATTCCACAACCTCCCTAGGCAATTTATTCCAGTGCTTAACCACCCTGAGAGGAAGTTTTTCCTAATGTCGAACCTAAACCTCCTTTGCTTCTTGTCCTATCCTCAGAGGTTAAAAAGAACAATTTTTCTCCCTCCTCTTTGTAACAACCTTTTACGTACTTGAGAAGACTGAGGGGGGACATTATAACAGTTTTCTTTTCCAGACTAAACAAACCCAATTTTTTCAATTTTCCCTTAACCTTTAATAATTTTTGTCGCTCTTCTCCAGTTACTCCACATCCTTCCAGAAATGTGGCACCCAGAACTGGACACAATACTCCAGTTGAGGCCTAATTAGCGCAGAGTAGAGCAGAAGAATTGCTTCTTTTGTCTTGCTTTTAACACTCCTGCTAATACATCCCAGATTGATGTCTGCAGTGTGCTAGCCATTTCAAAGACACAGTTTGTTTACATAGCATCCAAAGCCACAGATATATTTTTGGAACAAATAAATACAGGGGGCTTCACTTTATTTTTACATTGTTTTTTCTTTTGCATCATTATGATTTTTATTACTAATGAAAAGACTGGAAAGAGTGTTTCCAGCATTGTCAGCAGACGGAACACAGCATTTACCTGAGCCATAGTTATTATTCCAGTCTACAATACACCAATGGCACACCAGCATAGCAACAAGCATGAACAAAGTCATTGTACACTACTTCCCCTCATTAGCAAAAATACCCTTGCAGATAACTTTCTGATTGTGCTGCAAACTCTACATTGTGTATCAAAGCTCTGATGCTAACATTAAGTTGTTGTATAAAATGCAGGTACACACAATAGTCTGCAGGCAGTGATCATCTGGAAATTTCAAAGTACGGCCACTCATTCACACACACAAGCAAATTCTGACTTTCCATCTTTCAAAGGCAGTGGCTCACAGAATCCAGGGTTAAATGGAGCTTCTCTGAACATACTGGTAGCAGTATGGTGGAGAAGAGAACAGGAGAAACTGACACTCTCACACACACTCCCCAATCTTCGTATGGTAAAGTTTTTTTTTTATCCCCACAAAATAATTTCACTAATAGATAGATAAAGGTCAGATTCTGACTTTCCTACATTGAGTAGCATCTTACTCAGCAAGTAGCATATTGACTTCATTGGAACTACTCATCAAGCCAGATATAACTCTACACCTGACAATGCACAGAAATCATTAATTCTACTTCACTATAGGGATTTTCTATATTAAGAGTCATATATCTATCTATATAAACACACAGTTCACTATTCCTGTATAACATTCTGCCATTTAAAAGTGTTGTACACACTGCAGGGAAAAAAACACCAACAAAACCTGTGAAAAGAAGGGGGTTTCGTCTGTTCTTTTTCTACCCTCGAGTAACAGCAGGTAGAAGGTGTTTGCTTAAATGTTTGCCACCAAAGTTTTTTCTAGCTGTGCCTAAATGATAAATTGCTCAGCTATACTATGCTTTGTTTGGAGGAAGTTAAATTCTCTTCCATTATTACCTTTGAATGTAAACTAGCAAAGCACATCTGCACTTTTTATTTAACTCCACTCTAGTTTGCAAGTGGTTGGGTCGTTAGGATAAACTGTACCGTTACTTACATTGAAATCATCACAGCAGGGGAAATGCTTCCCTCAGCTGCTATAGGATACAGCAGGGGCTTTTCTCACATGCATAGGTGGAACTGAGCAAAGATGACCTGATGTGTGTGTTGATTCATTATCAGGTTAGATTTTTTTTCAGCAGGCTTTCATCAGTAAATATTGATTTAAACTCCAATACCGGAAGGTTTAGTCATAACATTGTGGCAGGAATTATGCGATAAAGATATATGGGTAATTACCTAAGAGGGTCGCCTCCTGGTGGCAAAGCTCCTTTGTTGTCCGCAGTGGCTGAGTGGAGTTCAATGCTATGTAATAACAGATGTGGGCCTTTTAGGGAGATGCGTGACGATTTCATCGGCTGAATGGATTCTGCATTAGAAAAAATCCAGTGGGAAAGGCAGCATACAAAATTGCAGTCTAGTGAAATGATCCAGTAGTACTTGGAATAAGCATTTAAGTTACAGTTTTGACATTTCATTATAGAAATAAATAGGTCTATCAAACCTTAACATTTCTTTTCTATTCTATGATTTAATCACTTTCCTCTCCTTGCTCGTGTGTGTATATTACATACACACACAATATAAAAAGATTAGGCACATGTATATTTGCTTTTCAGACAATCATCCACGTATATCTATGGTGCTGACATACATACATATATACAAGTGGATGTGTCAAAGTGAGGTATCATGGCAGAGGCTTAGGATAATATGCATTTAAAAACCAGTTTGCAGAGCATTATTTGCAAGGAACTTGGCAGAACAAAGTTCCATAAATCATGAGCATGTATCTTTTAAGAAAATCAAAATATACAAATGAAGAGTCCCAGCAAAACAAATGATACCCATAACTCATCACCACAGATATCAGTAAGAAGTCAATTTCTTGACACTCAATTGCATACACACAAATATATTACATATATAAAGTTTACCTATACTACCTCATAGAGTTGTTTTGCTGCCTAAATTATGTAGCATTAGTGGCCATGGCAAATTCTTAATATACACACACATCCTCATTTATCCTTCTCTGATAAACTGAACCCATGTCAACTGAAGGTTAGGCATTTCCATGCACTGCTACTTTCTCCCACTTATTCGAGTCCTGTATTTATGACGCTGGGCGGGGGAAGAGGGGAAGGGTGTCTCAAATTGTTTTAGAAAAACAAAGCTATATTGTAAAGAAAATTGGCATTTAAAGAATCTGGCAGCTGTCCCTCAACTGTCCATACAGTTCACTTCATTGTCTAAAAATGTATCTGTAGACAGACATGATAGAAAGGAATTGATGCTGTTACTTCTGAATGTGAAACTGACCTTCTGTCTAACCCTTTTGTTTTACCTTGCCTCCTTTTTTTTTTTTTTTGAATCTCTCTTATTTTGCTACACAAAGCAGCCCATCTGCTGTCATTTTGGACCTGTGGGAAGCCCGACATCAGCATGATGGTGACCTTGACTCTCTAGCCTGTGCCCTGGAAGAGATAGGACGGACACACTCCAAAATCTCAAATATTACAGAAACTCAGATTGAGGAGACCGACTTCAGCTACAGCAGGCAAAACGGACTTTAGTCATCTCTTTTCCATTCAAGAACCGATGGCCAGCTTTGACTTTGACATTAGCAAATTTCTACGAGCAGGGAGGAAATAAGGGTTTTATGCACATTGCATACAGGGAATCAGACCTTCATTTCTACCACCTGTTTTTTATTTGGAGGAGCAGAAGAAACCCCAGAGTAAATCACCACAGTAACAAGGAAAATGCAATCATCTCTGTGACTCCACAATCCTCCCAGAATTAAAACTCATGTGAGAGTAATGAAAATAAAGTCTACTTTTCTATGATTCCCAGGGGGTGAGAGGGTGGGGAAGCTATAGATAATGGTAGATATTGTGACACTGTATTATTTAAGAAACAGTAATGCAACCCAGAGAAAAATAAAGAAGGCAGTGACGATGCTCTATGATCAACAAATTATTGAATATTTAGAGCCACTAGACTCTCTGGGTTTCAAGATTCGATCACATGGCTTGATTCTCCATTGCCTTGCACCTTGTCGATTTACAATTAAGAAGGTACAAAATACTACCATGCTGATTTGGTAGCACTGTGCATTCACTTTATACTGGTGTAAGTGAACTCCATGTATTGCAGGGCTACAGAAAATCAGATCCAGGGAATTGGAACCTATACTGTTTCATTTATGTAACCAATCTCAACCAGCCAATCCACTTCAAAATTTGATCATGTAATTAACGTACACATTTGCTGCAGAATTTTCCTGGCCCTTCTAATAGCAAAAAGTCCCCCAAACTCTTATAAAAGTGCTGCTTTTCACTGCATAAAACTTGGAACAACTTCACATAACAACCAACTGCAGTACTGGGAATAGCCACACCTGTTTTAGCAAATTTGACTTTTTCGGCTTTGTACTTTTTTTGCATTGCTCCTAATTTCAGGACTATCAAGGCAGTAACTATTTCCACCTGAAACCAGGCCAAAATCAAAATTGCAATGTTTGGCTTGGTTTCTATCAATCAGAAACAATAAATCCAAGGGCACATCCAGACATTGGCCCACTTTCATCCTAAAGGTTTTGTGCTCTGTGGCAGAGTTTCACAGTCTTAAAATCTGAGCTCAGCAGAGTTTCATCTGGTTTAGTGATGTTGACGCCAACAACAAAACAGTTGAGATAGGGAACGTTCTCTGGCTTTCCACCATTCTCTCCCTCCCTCCTCCCCATCTTTAACTTCTTGTAGCTTATTTTTAAAACAAACCAAAAATGCTGTCTCTCGCATGTGTGTTCTAATGGACATGGTGCAGAACAAGATCTAAACAGTATTTCTGTCCATGAAATCTGTTTTAAATCAGCCCAAGGGCCAATTATGGCAAACTGATCATCAGTATTTGTCGTGTGGGCACAAGTCTGTATAGTTCAGGAGCATCAGTCATTGGAGCCCATTTTATTATAACAGTTTCAAGAAGATGCAAGAGAATTAAATATATATATTTTTAATTTTCTCTTGCAGATTTTACAGACAGGGCTGGGAGCAGCCTGACAAACCAAAAAGTAGTTTACAGAACATACACCCTAATGATTATCTGAAGCTATTTCTTCAAATAAAATTGCAGCTGTGGTTGTACAATTAACAATCCCCTTCCAAGCAGTGACTTAGCAAGTAGCTGTTCATTTTCACTGACCTTCAATATAAACCTTCCTTGCTTCACCTGCTCACCAGTCTAGAATAAATATTTAGACAACCCCACTGAGAAACATGGGCCTGAAATATTTCTTGCATTTCATGTCAAGCAACATATTGTGAGAGGTTTGTGGTGGTGGTGGTTTTTGAAGAGTACCTTCCTTTTGGCAATGGGAAGCAGTGATGGCTCTTAAGCACATTTAAGATTAACAAAATTCCAGCCTATTCCTCAAAAAAGTAGCAAACTTATCACTGTTGTCATAGCACATGGCTCTCTCCTTTTGTCTAATACAGAAGAGGAACTGAAGTTACTAGACACAAAATTCCAGAAGTCAGGGATAAAAAGTTTTGGCCATGACACCAAGAGAAAAGAAAAGTAGTTAAAATATACTGCAGTTTTCTTGAAAATGTACTAAGGTAAATTTCCAGCACTTAACTTTTCTCTCAACTTCTACCCATACACAAGTTTATTTTGGTAACTAACCCAAGCTAATTTGAAAAAGCAATCATCAAACTAAAGATTCCTAAGGTCTCTCTCTATATGCAGTAATGTATTTGTCATTCCAAAAGTTCTGAATGTGTTTCCTTTGTGTGCATCAGACCTATTTGAAAATCACTAAGCATATAGGGGGTAGAGGGAGCTGCTCCAGGGAATCTGGAGTGTAACGCTTTTCTCAGAAAAAATTAGTGTTTACTGTATAGAACTGTAGCTGTTTCTAAAAGAAATGCCACTCAGAGCAGCTGAACCCTGCTTACTGATATTCATCATGTGGATAAGGTTACTGAATGCCCTGTGAAGTCTGTTTAGCAAAAGTTGGTCCCTTACTAGGAGTCAGAGAACGTGCACTGTTTGAGATGTTCAAAAGAGCTTCTGGAGAAGATCTTCATACTAACGGGAGCTGGGTTGTAAACCAAAATCTACAGCCTGATCTAACAACCATTTAAGTCAAAGATTGTCTTACCACCATTGATTTCAGTGGGCTTTGGATTATGCACCTGAAGAGGACCAGCTCTGAAAGTCAGTTTCTTGCAATCATTTAGATGCATAAAACTCAGACTTCAGGCTCTGGCCTGAGTTGCTCAATAGTGTTGTTTTTCTGTTGTTTCCTTTGGGTTTTGACCTTATTTGCTCATTTTTGCCAAATTTCCTTGTTTGTCTTTTGTGAGTCATTTTCAATTAAGAATACCAACCTTTTTCTAAATGTGTGGTGGTTCTGATGCCCTTGTAACATGCAAGCAAGCTGGAAATGGAAATGCCACAGAATGAGACCTTAATTTAGAATTACAATAAAAGGAGTTGACTGCTGATCTCAGAGTTGAGGTTAAAGTGGTAACCAGATTCCTGGCCAGCTTACCTCCAATGTGACCCTATCCAGAGCATGTCAGAGTCATAGCAGGATGAGACATTTCTGATGAAATAAGATTGCTCCTGACCCCTTTCTCCATAGGTAAAATCACTCACCTCACCCCACCCCAAAAAAACAACTTTTGATATTTGCAAAATATAGTCACTTATTTTTGTGCCCCTCTCCACTTCCTAGTTTTGTCCATTACGAGGAATAGATACGCCATCACTGACAGTATTTTTCCTAATCACGCAAAAGCAGGAAGGTGCCGGAAATCTCAGCATTTCCAGACCAAAGAGTTTTAGAGAAGAGTCCCAGTAATCCTCTCCTCTAGACTGAAATTTAAAACCATTTGATGTTTACCCAGCAATACTGGAAGACAACCGAAAACAGTCCAGGTATGTCTTGAGTTAGAACAACCAGGCAAGAGCCTGGCCTATCTCCCCTCCGTGTCCACACACGAAACCATTTCACACTTGAGTTTAGTGGTGCTTTAAACACGAGCTAGCTGGCCTAGCTAGGGGTACAGACTAGACCTTGGGTGCCGATTTTGCTTGAGCTAGTAACCCACTTTGCATTAAGGACTCAGGCTAACTTCTTAGAGTGCTGAGAGTCCTCCAGTGCCTTCCCACAATTCTATCACATGCCCAGGTTAGACAAGTTCCTCCACAATTCACTAGGGGGGAAAAAATCCAAGCAGCTCAGCCCACCGCAGCACCAAGGGATATGTCCCCAGGAGTCATAGCAAGAAGCACAGGTGTTTGCAAAAGTAACACACTATTTACTGTCCCCTCACTGCTGCTGCAGTGTGGCTGCTCTTACCTGTACTAGGCTAAACGCAGTTGCTCAGATGTGGGTGCAAATCACCCCGGATAACCCTGCAGTGAAGACATACTTTCTGATACCTTACTGTGATTCACTCTTTGTGATCATTTGTGTTAATTTTACCAGATAGTTTTCTTAAATAGGGGAGGATGATGATGAATAATCAGATGAATATGAGCTCCCAGGGTGACACCGTAGCCAAGAGAGCAAATGTAATCCTTGGATACATAAACAGGGGAATTTCAAGAGGAGTAGAGAAGTTATTGCACCACTGCCAAATACAGAGGTAAAAACACTTTGAGCTCCTTGGGTCTATCAACATCTTTCTTGAATTGTGGGCACCAGAACTAGATACACTATCCCAATCATTCTCATGGCTCTTCTCTGAGCCATCACTATTAGCTTAATAAAGAGAAAGTTAAGTAGATTGAGGGATTAGAAATCATGTCTAAGAGGTGACTTCATTACAATCTATATGTACCTACATGGGGAACAAATATTTAATAATGGGCTCTTCAATCTGGCAGAGAGAGATACAACACAATCCAATGGGAGTAAGTTGAAGCTAGACACATTCAGACTGGAAATGAGGCATAGGTTTTTGTTTTTAAACAGTAAGTAATTAACCAGTGGAACAATATTTAAAATGAAGATTGGATTTTTCTGAAAGATCTGCTCTAGAAATTATTTTGGGGAAGTTCAACAGCCTGGGTTATACAGGAGGTCAGATGACATTATCACAATAATCCCTTCTGGCCTTGGAATCTATAAGCAAATACTTTAAAGATGAAAAGTGTTAAGTGCTTTACTGACATATGCTAATTTCCTCAAGTTTCCTCCCTTCTTGTATGTATTAGCCCCATTTTAGAGATAGAGAAACTGAAGTTAAGGAGCAGATTTTTAAAATAATAAAGCTCAGCTCCCATTTGGATACATAAATGAAGTACCCAGCAGCTCTCATTAACAGCATGTTTACTTACATAGCATAAATAGTGCATGTTAGCCTCCTATTTTCTGTAGCATAAAGCAGTTGGTTCTATAGGAATACTGTACTACAATGTGTCCTATATAGTCTTGCCATAAAAACAAACAAACCTCTGACAAGAACCATCATCTATATAATTCATACACAAATACCATCTAAATAGCATGTGTTGAGACCAATGGGAGTTTCCGGTGCTGAGCACTTTTTCAAAAAGG